AGTCCAGAAAAAGAAGCAGGCATTAGTGTGTGTGAGTGAAGGATGGCGAGACAATCACCCTTCACTTGTGTTTCTAGTAGTTACTTCTAGCCTAGCCAGCCCGCCAGCCCTAGACACACTGTTCTTCCTGTATCTCTTAAGCCCTTTATCAACACCTGCCTCCTTATCTAACTGGCACATCAGTGGCATAGGTAGTGAGAAAAGCAGCAGAGGGAGATTTATTTCTAGGCTTTTCATGTTATAGTAACTTGGCCGGTGAGTGCATGCTCTGTGGCTGAGATTATCACATGTGAGGGAACTCGAGGCCATTGAGACTCTCGTGAAATACAGTAGCTGTTTAGTGAATATTATTGAATAAAATGCCCAGAGCTTTCTAGTTACTTAGCTCTTTGCCCTTTCTCATTACACAGTCAACCAATTAGAATTTTTGGAATACTGTACCTCCCCAGCAATGTGCTAGACCTGAGAGACAAGTATAAACCCTCAAGTAACTTACAGTTCCATTGGGAGAAGCTAAGATTTCTCAAGTAGAGGAAAGGTTTTAGAGAGACTCGAGACTCTAAGAGCTGCATAGGAGGGTTTAGTCAGTAGGGACTCCATAACATACAATTTATTTGGTACATGGGGAAGCCAAAATAAGTAAGATAATGTGTTCAGTATTTATAATCTTATTTTGAAATTTTTTTATTGATGCTACAGCATGCTATTTTTAACATGTAAATTGGGTTTCCTCCCTAAGTTATATGTTGAAAACTAATCACCGATGTAATCATATTAGGAGGAGGGGCTTTTGGAAGTGATGAGATCATGAGGGAGAAGAGCCCTCATGAAAGGCAGCAGAGCCCTTGCAGCAGAGGCCCCCGACAGCTGCTTCGCCCCTTGTACTGAGGACACAGTGAGAAGGCTCCACCTGGGAACCAGAAGCTGGGCCCTCACCAGGCACCGAATCTGCCAGTGCCTTGGTCATGGACTTCCCAGCTTCCAGAACTGTGAAAAATAAATTTCTGTTGTTTATGAGCCACCTAGTGTTTATGGTAATTTGTTATAGAAGCCCAAAAGGACTAAGACAATCGATTAGTGTTTTGTTAATATAAGTAGAATCTTTAAAAATATATATGTATCTAATGGCTATGGCTATAATACTGTGTTAAGTTCAATTATAAAACAATATAAAAATAGGAAAAAGACACAGGCATATAATAATAATTAAGAAGCAGAACATCATTAGTCAGTTCAGAGGAGGAAGGATTCAACAAAGGCTGGGACTGACAGGAGAAATTTAAGACAGGAAGTTTGGTTAGAAGTATAGGATGGCAGGTAGTAGGAAGAGATGGTTGGGTAAATTATTGATGACAAGTACTATGTCATGAAACTTTTGTGACTAGCAAATGTTTACCAAGCACCTACTTTTGTTAATGAGTCACTTTCATTTTTATTATTATAAAAATGTTTTCTTTAATGCTCTTAGAGTTGATCTTCAATAAAGGAAGTAAAACAGCCTATGATAATAGTTCCCCAATCTCCCCGGTCCCCAGGAGCCAGCTTTCATTTCAGGGAGGCCCAAAAAATCTGTGCATCGTCATCACTGGCCCTCAGCCTTCTCAAGGGATGGGGCTGAAGGCAGAGGGGCTGGCTGCAGAGGCTCCATCAGGGGAACAGGGGCTCTCTCCAGGCTTGCTTGTTTCCCAGGAGGATTTCTCAGTGACCCTCTTCAATTGCCCCTTTCAGCAAGTTCTTCTCTGTATGTCACTTAAGCAGAGAGGTGTGTGGCTCAGCTCTGGAAAGGAGTTGGGTGATAGATTCAAGACTCTCTTAGGTCCCTGATTTGCTATGTGATCCTTCGTGTCATTTTTCTCAACTGTGAAATATGTAGGTAAAAGGCTGAATAATTTGTACAGCGAAGTTCAGATGTGAGCTACAGATATGTCTAAGAACTACTCTGTTCTCTTGATCCAAATCAATGATCTAAATCAAATCTGAAGACTCTTCTGTCCTTGGTCTCTTTGAAGCATCCTGGGAAGTACCTGTGCTCATGCAGAAAGCCATTCTACTACTTTTTTCCACAAGAATCTGCATAGCAAATTTGGAAGTCTTCTCATTCCTCTAGAGCCTGTCAAAGTCAGATTCCTGGGCCTTACTGCAAACTCACTAAATCAAACTCTCCATGGGTGGATCCCAGGAATTTGCATTCCAACATGCATCCCAGGTGACTCTGATATAGCTAGACTTTCAGTATTTAGGAATCATTCATCTGAGCCATGGTCCTCACTTGCTAAGACTTCTGGAGCCTTCGGGGAGCCCAGAACAGGGATCGGCACTGTGGATGCTCATGAGAGACTAGTTAATATGAGCACCTGCTCTTGACAAGAACAGTGCTAAGTATCAAATATCCAGAGGTGAACAACACCAACAAGACGTGATGCCTGCCCTCATAGGACTGTTGTCTGTTATTCACGGAGCCTGCTCCATAGAAACCCAGCCATAAAAACACACAAACAGAAATGTAAATGTAAAACTATAGCAGACACCTAGAGAGACTATAGAGGCATTTGACACAGACTTGGGAAATCATCCACAATCAGGATAGGCCCTTCTGAGGAAATGATACATAAACAGAGAGACCTGGGCCGGGCGCAATGGCTCACGCCTGTAATCCTAGCTCTTTGGGAGGCCAAGGCAGGTGGATTGTTTGAGCTCAGGAGTTCGAAACCAGCCTGAGCAAGAGCGAGACCCCATCTGCACTAAAAATAGAAAGAAATTAATCGGACAACTAAAAATACATAGAAAAAATCAGCCAGACATGGTGGCGTATGCCTGTAGTCCCAGCTACTCGGGAGGCTGAGGCAGAAGGATCGCTTGAGCCCAGGAGTTTGAGGTTACTGTGAGCTGGGCTGACACCACGGCACTCTAGCCCGGGCAACACAGTGAGACTCTGTCTCAAAAAAAAAAAAAAACAGAGAGACCTGAAGGATGACTAGGCAGTTATTTAGGAGAACCTTCTAGACTTCCATTGTCCAATATGGTAGCCACTATTCCTTGACTATTTACACTTAAGTGAAGACTAAATAAAATGGAAAATGTGGTATCTTGGTTATGCTAGCCACATTTCAAATGCTTAGTAGCCACATGTGACTACCACATCGGACAGTGCAAAAATAATACATTTTCATCATCTCAGAGAATTCTCTCGGACTGCCCTGGTCTAGACCGGGGTGGTGAAACAAGTCTGGCCCATCATCTATTTTTGAAAATTAAGTTTTCATTAGAATACAGCCATACTCAATCTTTTAAATATTCTTGGTAGCTTCTTTGGCACTACAATTGCAGAGAAGCAACAATGGCAGAGTAGTTGCAACAGACCTTATAGCCCACAAAGCCTAAAATACTATTATCTGGCCTTTGATAAAAAAAAAAAAAAAATGTGAGGAAACGGACTTAGTGTGACTAGCTAAAGCTTGGAGAAAAGTGAGATTATAGTGATGGTGCTTTTGCCAGTGTGCATCCAGGCGGCTGCTACTGTATTAATTAATCTCTTTTCTCTCCACCTGTGGCTTCTAAGGCAGCAGTCTTCTCATCTAGACAAACTGGAGCGGGTCCAAGGGACAGCAACCACATTGATAAAGCAACTGTGTCCTTTGAGGCATAGTTGATATTGTCAATGTAACTCTGTATTGGGTTAGAGCCTGGACTAAAGGTCTCTCAAAATCCAGTTACCTCCTTCTTTGAGATAATATAGAATAGAGCAAGACTGTTTAACTTTTGCTGTTTAAACGGCACACCATGTGAAAACCTACCTAGTCGCCTTGTTTATCCAATCACTTCCATTTAATTGTTCTTATATATTATGTGATGTGATCAACAGATAATCAAAGTTCATGTGAATAATCAAATGGATCTTGATTTTTAGGGACATTTCTCCTAGCTTATAGCTTCTCTTCCTATGTTAATGGAATTGCATTAATGGCACCTGGGGCATGCATTTTAACAAGTTGTTTAAAACCTAATTTCAGGTTGCATTTATTTGGAGATCTCTTAGAAACTTCATGAGTCTTCTCAGTTATTTAAAATCCTAAATAGGTTACTTTGAAGTTCAAGAGCTTCTCTCTTGTTACTTCTGGATTAAATTCACTTAAGAATACTCTTAATGACTCTATGAAAGTAAGTTAACACATTTTCCTATTATATTCTTTCAGATTGTTGTTCACTCTAGCAAACGCATCATTGATTCCACTAATATTTAATATTTATTGATCAGCTACTAGCCAGAATACTAGCAGTGTTCTAGCTCTAGCACCAGCATCACACTATCACTGGAAATGAGGAAAGACTTTAGCCTTATTTAAATTACAACCTACCAGGTACAAGCTATGTGTCATGTACTATGAGAGGAAATTTCATACACTATTTCTAATCTTTTGACAGCTTTGGAAAATAAGTTTTATTATCTCTTTTTTTTTTTCAGATAAGAAAACTGAAGCTCAGAAAGATTGAATAATTTTCCCAGGGTCACACATTTAATAATGACAGAGCAGGGTTTCAAATCCGGATCATTTCTACTCCATAGCTACTCTTTCTCCTTTACTACTGTCTATTTTTGTCCTTGGTCTTTGGTTTTCAAATAGGATAATGTAAAGAATTCTGTTTCATACATAACATCAGAGCTCAAGTCTTAATTTTTGTAATTCTAGTCTGAATTTTGCCACCTATTTTCTGTAGGATTTTACCGGTAGTAATGACTCAAGTTCATTGGTGGGAAAAGTTAATTCAAAGAATGGTTGCTTTTTTAATCTTCTTGGAATTGAACTGGATTTCTAAAACCTTCTGGATGCAGGTATTTTTCCCCCACATACACAGTTCTGAAGTGATTTTTGTGAATATTTAAACCTAAATCACAATTTTACTGTTTATGGGCTGACCTATTTTGTACACAGTATGAATTATAATTTTTGTTGGTTGGTTTTTCTGAATTGAATAAATAATTACTAATTCTCTTGTTTCAGATTCGATGGGAACTTTAATACCAATGTATCCAGAACAATTAGTTGTGATCGACTTTCTACTACTGTTAATAGCAGGGCCTTTAATCCAGGACGAGACTTAAATTCAGGTCAGTAATCTGTTGCTTTTGTAAAGATGAACTATATTCCACCACATTCAAGTTGAATAAATGTATTGCTTCAAATATATTGCTGCTTTAAGTTTTAAGGAAAAATATTATATACTTAAAATTGGGTATTTCTTGCTGGAAAGTTAACACTCAAAAGAGAGAAAGGAAGAAAAAATATCAAGCTGACATGTATTAAGCTTCTACTAACTATGTAGCTATATATAATTTATATATACGGCACATGCCAAGTACCTTGCTAGGCTCTTTAATCCATTATCTCACTTCTTCTGAGTTTTACATTTGTTATTTTAAAGTCCTGTTATCTTTGCAAGAGGAGATGAATTTCATTTGCATTCCCTATTTATAATTTTTAAACTGTTTTTGGGTTTTCCAGAAGAATAATGTGAGGGCTTTTCTATTAATAAAGTTCATGTAATATTGAGATTGGACTTTCTTCCTGGTCTCATTGGAACTCAGTTATAGGCAGTGGTAATAACAATGAGGTACCTGTGTTTATATAGCTATTTATAGCTCCAAAGTGACATGGTGTCTTTGCTTTCTTGCCCCAGAGTCCCACTCCATATTTGTTCCCCTTTTTGTCTTATGTACACCTGTTGATTGATGAACCTCAGATCCTAGAGGCTTCACCTTTGGAGAGCCGGAAGGAACTTTAGAAACCACACCATCCTCAATCTTCAGATTTTACCAAGAAAGAATCCAAGGCTCAGGAAACACCTAAGGCATCCCTTATTGCTGGAAAGACAAAGGATCCTTAAACATGAAGAACTGTATTTCCCAAATTCCAGGTCTCCTTGTAGACATGTAAAACCCAAGAGAGAAGCCAGAGAATCAGAATATTTAGTATTAGGGCCCCATTCAGTTTCAGTTTTGGGGGAGAAATTGTAGTCTTTGGGAATTATAAACACAAGGGTCTGGAAAGAACAAGCTATAAGTTTTATGTTTCTTAGGGATAATAAAACTATAGTTACTAGATGAATAGGCCAACCTAAATCTGCCAGGTATATATTATCTGGGCCAATATATAATGAATTCAGTTATTTTTTTCTTGGTCAGATAATTTGGAAGTCTCTGGAGTAGGTGGGGTTTACTACTAGAAAGGAGGCTAAATGAAAATATTTTTTATTAAAAAAATAGCAGAAGAAAGTAGATAAGGGCATGGAATGGGCAGAGAAAATTAGTTGTGGAAGATTCCACAGCTGGCACAGGGAACAAACCCGGAACTAGAGCCTCTGGGTTTCCAGATTTGGTTCTTTCCCTAAAAAATGCTCAGTAACACAAGAGATGTTGCTGGGTCTGAAGACTTGAGGTTGAAATAGTAATCATTGAATAGGATCAGATTTAAACATGTTCTAAAACCATGATGTAATCCAACATTGCATATAGTTAAAATTTGTACAATTCGTGTTAAGTTGTGGGATATCTATTTGAGTTAATTTTTTAAAAATCAGTGCATTATTTATTTATATAAGATCTAGAAGGATCCACCCATAAATGTTAGTATTTATCTTTTAGTGATGGAAGAATGGGATATTTTTACTTTCTTATTAATTTTCTTAATTTTAAATTAAGCATTCATTGCTTTCATGCTCAGGGGAAAATAAAAGAGAATTATAGACTACTTTCAAGTCCATTTTCTCTCCTTTCTGGTAGAGAGTACCTTTCCTAACACATCTCTAGCATGAAGCTCCATTACCCTCCTGGCTGTGTGATGGGGACAGCAACAAAGGGCAGGCTGGGGCAGACTGAGAGTGGTGTGTGCTCACCTGGGGTCCAGAATGACACCCCCTTGCGGGATCATCCACCTCAGTGGGTCGGACCTGGAGGATCTGGAAGCTGCTGCAGCCAGGGCCCCGCCCTCATTGCCTTGTTTTATGTCTGTTCATAGTCTCTGAAAATGAGCATAGTGTTGGGATCTAGCTTCATCATTCAAAGTAGTAGTAGTATTATGCCTTTTTCTTAATGAATACGGAAGCCACTCTTCCAGGCCATAACCCGGAAGAATGGCGTCCTGCCTACTAGGAAGGAATAGTTACAACTAGAAGTCATTCAATAAATATTTATTCGATATCTTCTTCATGGTAAATACTCTCCTTGGTACTAGGTCAAGAGCTGAAAACAAAACAAAGAGCTTATGATCTGGATCTGGGAGACCTAGATTTTAAGCGAATAACATGTGAGATGATGATGAGTGCTATCAAGGAAAAGTCACCTGGGAGTGTGGGGGAGGAGAAGGAGACTTACTATTCTGTCTAAGGGCTCCAGGCTGAGGTCCGAATAGGTGTGGTTGTAAACACTGAGAGTGACTGGCAGCAGTGTATCCCAGGCAGAGGCCTTGAGTTGGGAGAAATGTTTGGTGTGCTCAGAAACTGCAAGAAGGCCACCGTAGCTCTGGTGGAGTGAACAACAGGGGAGAGCAAATTAGGCCAGAAAGGCAGTCGGGGGCAGAGGCTCCAAGAGCCTTACTTTACCGGCCGTTACAAGGACTTTAGTGTTTGCTCTGAATGAGATGGAAGAACATGGGGGGGTTATATGCAGGGAAGTGACATGATTTGACTTAGGTTAAAAGGCTTGCCAGCCACTGTGGCAAGAGTAGTCTGGACAAGGCAAAGGTGGAAGCAAGGGAGACTATTTAGGAAGTCATTGCAAAATGCAGGCGGCAGATGATGATGGCGTTAATAGTGCAGTCACGGTGGAGGTGGTGAGTGGTGGTTGAATGCTGAACGCGTTCTGAAGGTAGAACCAACAGGATTTGCCGATTAATTGCACGGTGGGAGGTGTGTGTGTTGGGGGATGGTGTTTGAATAAGAGAAGATTTCAAAAAGACTTGCAGGATACTTGGCTGCACAAGGGGAAGGACAGAGTTGCCCTTCACTGTGACGAGAGAAGAGCAGGTTTGTGTGGGAGACGGGAGTCAACAGTTGGAGTTTGTAAAAGTTAGGTTTGAGCTGCTTTTTTGATACCTGAGTAGAAAGGCCTCATAGGCAGTTGGATAAACAAGTCTGGAGCCCAGGGAAGGGATAGAGATATCGATTAGAGATTCACTGTATATAAATAGTACTTAAATCATGAGACTCATTAAGATCACATAGCAAGTGCTGTGGGTAGACAAGAGAAGAGCTCAGAGACTGAGTCTTGGGGGACTTAGGGGACACTGAGATGAAGAGGAAGCTGAGAAGGAGCATCGGTCTGGTAGAGAGAGAACTAAGAGGGCCGTCTCTCTGAAGCCAAGTGAGGAAAATGTTTCAACGGAAAGGTAGAGATCAACTCTGTCAAGTATGATGAAGGTCTAGAAAGGCAACCATAGGATTTAGCAGCGTAGAGGTTATTGGTGAGCTTGACAAGGGTTGTTTGGTGCAATAACAGCAGGAAAGGCTGATCCTAGAGGGTCCGAGACTGGAGGAGGGGAGTTGGAGGCAATAAGCACATGAACTCTTGAGGTTTGCTTGAAGGAAAGCTGGCAGGCCATATGGGGCCAAGAAGATATTTTTACGTTGAGAAAAATTACATCAAGTTTATGTGCCAAAGGGAATGATCCAGTAGAGAAAGGCTAATGACGCAGGAGTAAGGGGAAAAGATTGCAAGAGGTTTTTCCTTGATTAGGTAAGAGATGATGGCATCACAAGGAGAGAATTTAGAAGCACAGAGAGTTTGTTCATAGTAAGAGGAAGGGAGGAAGAATATGTAGATACAGATTCCCCCTGAGATGATAGCTGTGAACTTGAGGATACTCCCTTCTTAGTGATTCTGTTTTCTCAGAGGACTAAAAAGCAAGCTCATCAGCTAGGAGTGAGGACTAGGGAAGAAGCATTAAAGACCCATTAGTTGTTGTAAGTTTACCTTTTGTTACTGAGGTTTTAGAGTAAAACTCAGCTGCACAAATAATCAGGAATCCCAAGAAAATGCTGATTTATCTCAGTGTTTATTTGTTAAGGGAGAGATAGTTAAGATAGTTTGAAAAGTCAGGGAGTAGGAAGGGCAGAGGTAAATAGAATATAGCTAAAGATCAGATCTTGAATTTTGATATTTCTGAGAGCAGTCTCAAGTATAACCTACTACATAACAAGAGTTGTTCTCAGCAAGGTTGACACAGCTAGATTTACAAGCAGATTTTGACAATATTCAGGTATTTAAGAACTGACTTGCTTGCATTTGAAGTTCTGCGATATTCTACTAGGCGGTGGCTACATCCCAAAGTCCACATACTTGAGCAGTCATTTGTAATATGAGAGGAGTGGGATATGGTGAAGGGTGACCTCAGAGTCCCCCCTTTTCCTCCTGTACAGCTCATGCCCCCTTTTCAGAGCAGAATTAATGTACTCTGTAGTTATCACATGATATTTACATCTGTAAGATGTCCAGCCTCAGGCTCCTTCAGACTGTATATAATCCATCACTGGGCCCCTAATTGATAGCACAGTTTCAGATTGCCTTTCAGACTACCTGGGAACAGACTCGCATAAATTATAAACCATTCTTAGCTTCATTTATCCAAAACTAGGTCACGTGTCCATTCATCCAACACACATGTGTATTCTTTTTCTTATACCACTCCTGCCAGACCCCTACTTTCTAAATTGACTCCTTGTCCCTGATTCTATTCAAATAACTGAAGTTTGACAGTACATGTGTTAGATTACGGTGCTGGTAATGTTTTGCTCAGGTTCTTTCCTGCTTTTATCCCTAGTTTCTCATTCTCTTTTTTTTTTCTTTTAAATTCCTGCTGAGCTATTTTCTTGTGCATGGCCTGATCCCTAAAGAGAGTTTATTTGAAGAGTCCAAAGAAAGTTGCCTCTTGCTCTCTTGAGTTATGCAATTGAGGTGAGAGTGGAAGTAGGAGTTAGTCTCTCTTGCTGAAAGAAAAAGTGTCTGGACTTTCTTTATTGTATTTGATTGAAAGAGCATTTGAAGTTGCAAACTTCGATCTTGGTAACGTTATAGTCTTCATTGAAAAACAGGATTCATGGGGTGTAGGGAGCATT